TGTATTTTCCATGTTTACGGTCTTGCGAGCCGTGATGATGGAAGACGATTAAGTGGAAACATTGCTAATGTGTGCAACAAAAGCCAGTTAATAGTAGCAAGAAATAAATGAATGTGTAACAATTGTGTACAAAAATATTTTATTTCCCATTGCGGACATAAAAAATATTTCAAGGGGCAGGCGAAGTAGGGGTATAGCGAATTCATGCGAGAAATGAATTTTGCAACAGAACGTGGATAATTCAACGTTCTACTTGTCGTGTGCGAGTCGGCTCTACTTGACGGCCATTTTATGTCGTTCTTGAGACACCTTTCAGAATCGAGACTTCGCGACTAAAGCCGAGTATCCGTTCCCCGTCGTTCGAACCTTTGAGGGATCATCATCTATGCTCACCAAGGGTTCGCTGTCGTGCAGTGCGCCTCACACATGACGGTGAACATTTTCTGCGCCTTGCTGTTACTGTTCAACACCGCGCGGTTTAGGATTCTAATAGAAGAAGCGTGCAGAGTTAAGGACATCGAATCGCTGACAAAATGTGTACAGTAGTACCGAGCCGTAAAAGCATGCGACGTTAAAAAAATTTAAGTGACACTTGAAGAAAGTGTTATTTTAGATACGCGACGGAGGTAAGTCTAGGGATTAGGATTGTAGCTGACCTTACGATTATGATTATCTGCTGTTGTGTTCAAGATCCGTAAGGGAACTAGGCTCGGTTGAGTGGAACGCTGTATTTTAAAACCGTGATTAATCCTTCGCGCGACGGCTTTTCTTACATATTAAGAAGAATCACATGTTATGTACATTTCTCAGGATTTCGTTTCGTCCGATACTCTCATCACGAATGATACTTTCATTTTTATACGAGACCCTCTTCCTTGTAGCACATATTGCAAATATACAATCGCACGAGAAACATTATACTGGCCAATAGAACAATCGAGGGGTTGCGGTCTAGTACCAATCAATACTTTCTACTACGTGGAAAAAAGTAGTAAATAATTCTCAATCGCAATTGCAGTAAATTTGCATCCATATATATCTCGACACGTGTAGTCGTGCATCATGGCTCGCAATAATTCAACACCAACGTTCTGCAATTTACATAGTAACAGCAGTAGTTGTTTTCAATCTAAAGAACCCCTCATGTTAAGAAATTTATTATTCAACGAAGACTTGTATATCAAAGAGGCGAGACAATGAAGCTAGTTGCACATAATTTTCCGCTATCGTAACGCTTCGTTCGCCGTCATGTTCAATAACGTAACACCTGAGAGGGCGATTGCCTTTACCAAGCAAAGTGTAATCATGACTGCTTTGTGGCCGCTTGCCCCGACAGCGACCAAGTTCGAGAGGATCCGTTACACAGCTCTAAGAACATTTTATGTAACGAACGCGATCTTTCTTCTACTCCCTCTGCTTAACGCAATACGCGTACACAAGGAGAATCCCGCGGAAGTAAGCAGAGCAATTATGTTCAGCGTTGCTATCTTTAGTGTACTCGTCAGAACCGTCTTCGGGGTTTATCAATACGATCGATTTCAGGTAAGATTTATCTCCAGGACTTGAACGGAACTATTCTTATTCTCAGGAGCATTTAGTCCGTTCCATAAAACTCGAGTAAATGCTCCGAAGAATTCTTCGCAAAAATTTGAAGTTGAGATCAAATTTAATTTATTAAATAACACCGATTCAAAGACTAGGCTAATTTGAAATGTACATTCCGAGGCACATGATCGCTTGTAATAATCGAATATTAAATAAATATTCAGACTGAATGGATTCTAATGGTGAATAAGTGATATATTTATAAAAGTAAATAGTTCCATTCGACTCCTGATTAACTCGTTACCTTCAGAACAGATAAAATTTCTGACAGCCACATTGCGCTTGTAGCGCGTGTTCGAGGATATGAAAAGCTACCTGGAGAACGCGAAACCGTACGAGAGGAGCGTTCTCCAGAAGTACATCGACCGCTATTGCGGTTTCTACGGGATGATGGGAGTATGGATCTACATGTTAGTAGTTGTTACTATCATTGGATTCATTCCCACAAAGGACGCCATGCCCACTAACGCAGTATATCCGTTTCGTATCGACCATGAGCCCGTGCGGACCATCATTCTTCTAAACCACTGCATCGTTGGATTTCAGTGCGCCGCGCATTTGAATCTTAATATACAGACGGCCTTATTAATATTCTTCGCCGCGGCACGCTTTCAGATTTTAATGATAAAAATGAGGAACGTTAAGGACTCTGCTACGTTAGCGAAGTACATGACGCAGTATGACGATACAAAACGGTACGTACTCTGCAATAAAAGAGATATTAAAAGAATTTGAAATAGTTGATAGTGTTATATTTAAAGGTTTGCGCGAGAAGTGATTACAGCGACTACACCCTATTGTTTTATAACGGTGGCTGCAGGCTTTTTGATAACCATCTTTAGCGCTGTCAGCCTTATCGGAGTCGGTATAATTGAAGATTATTATTAATACACTGCAGATTTATAATATCGATTTATAAAATGCAATGTAAATCGAGATTCTTTACAATTAGTGACGTCC